TAGCTTGTTCAACTCTTGTCTGGTTGGCCGGAGAGGCAGGCCGATGTCGGTCGGTAATTGCGTGGCCCCCCTCGAACTGCTCGTTTCCTTGCACTTCCAACGTCTTCACAATCGTTTCCATACTATTTGGCTCCGTACTCATGTTCGGTTTGCCGACATGTGAATCCCCAGCGTTTTCATGTTTCGGTGAGAACTCCCCGAATCATTCTTGGCCATGCTCTCCTCCAGATCCCGACAACGATGTCGAAGGAATTTGTCACGGGCCCGGCAGGGCTTGTGTTGAAGGCGACGAGAAACGTTGCGATGCTCTCGACGTGCTGCGGCTACCGTCTCTGGTGTGGTGGCTGCCCGGTATCGCTCCCAAGCCTCCTGCAGTTTGCCTCGCAGCCGAAGGATGTCATCGTAGGCCGCTCCTTCAAACGGAGCACCCACCGACATACGCTTCCCCCTTGCAATTGTGTCTTCTGCAGCCCGTCGAATGATGCCTCCCAATCGATCCCACTGAGGCCCCCCATACTGCTTTTCCTGCTCTAAATCCTCGTCGTCGGAATACGGTATTGGAGAGGCCTGACGGGCGGTGCCGCCGACCCTGATCGAAAGGGCTAGGAGTGGGGGGAGGAAGCGGAGGAGGAGGAGGAGGAGGAGGAGGAGGAGGAGGAGGAGGAGGAGGAGGAGGAGGAGGAGCAGCTTTTCCTGCTCAAAATCCTCGTCGTCGGAATACGGTGCTTGGTTGTCTCGAAGCTGTCGAGCCCCGCGACCGGGGGTCCACCCCGAGAGCTCTGCTGGGGTCCTCCTCCTTGATGTCCTCCTCCTCCTCCTGGCCGTTCCCCGCGCAGTTCCCCTTGTTCGGGGGAAAACAAACAAACCTACCTCGCTTTTGACCACCCTCGCTTCCAAAAGATACCAAACAATGCCAAATTGCGGCCTGTACTGGTCAGGCCGCTTGACGAGGAGGCGCGTGGTATGGCTTGGTTTTGCCTGGAAGCGAAAGCGGGGGAGGTAATTCACGCTCTGACTTGTTCCCCTCGTAGTCCAACGGGGGGGGGGACAGTTTGTTAACCCCCTGTTCTTCCCATTGCACACACTTTGGGGTCCTCCTCCTAGGTGTCCTGCTCCCTCCATGTGGCCGCCGCAACCGAAGACGCCCTCCTCGGACTCGAACCCGGGCTCCTCGATATCTGGCCCTGGCGCCAACTGCGAAGCAGACCATTGCAGGCACGACGGTGCACGAGGGTGTCCGGCCCTGCCCTCCTCCGCGGCCGCGTCGGCAAGTGTGTTCCCCCAGGCGCCCGTGTGCGCTGGCACGTGGATGAGTCGCACTGGCCGGAGAGACTGTGCCTGCTTGTGCAAGCGCCCGAGACGACGAGCGAGTACAACATTCTGTTTCGGTCTCCATGTGCCTCGGGCCATGTTTGCTGCGTACGTACTATCGTAGTATATGGTGGCTGATGTAGAAGTTCGGCCCAATCTAATAATATTTAATAGCATCACACCCATGGCCGACATCTCCACCGTGTTGTTGGTCTGACCGACGGCCCCCAGGAAGTCCTTGGCAGCCTCGTCACATTGTACTGGGCCGTGCCACATGTCTACCGGGTCCGCCTGCAGCTCGGCAGGAAGGTTTCGAATGCACTTGCTTGCCCCGGCCCCCGCCTCCCCTACGAAGAGAGCGGCCCCCCAGCCCGCCTCGATGCCCTTTCCGTCCACAGACCCATCCACGAATAGATGTAGGGAGTCGGGACCTTGATGGAATTCTGCAGGGCGCTGTCGTCCCCCATTTGGGTCCAGAACCTCCGCCGTCAGCTGGCGAACTCGATCCTGGTATTTCTGACGATGGTGGGCTCCGAGGTCTGTGGGGTCCCGGAGAAGATGGTACCGAAGAGGAACAGTATGCTGCCCTCGTGCCAGTTCTCGTTCGCGTGTGAGTGCCAGAAACTTCTGCTTGCGTGCCTGTCGTGCCTTTTGTGTCTTGCTCGTGGGTAATACCATAGTGTATTGCTTTGCCATGTGATCTGACAAGCTCGTGGCGTACGTGCACATGTGAACGCGCGCCCCATGTGCCCCAATGTGATTGTGTTGTCGAGCTCGTACCACATGTACGTGTGCGGATGTCTCCAAGTGCCTCGGTGTACGCATGGTAAGAAGGAGTCGACGCAGCGTGCCTCCACGTCCCGGACAAACTTCACGAACGACCTGTCGCAGACCGTGGTTGCCGTGTGGAGCGTGAAAGGCCCAAGCTGGAATCGTCGGCCAGCGTCGTAACGCCCTTGTGTCCATTGAAGTCGCCTTGTAAGCTTGTGGCAAAATCCGTGTCCCCCAGAGCCCTGCAGAGCTTTGCCATGTTGTCCCACTGTGCTTTCCCGGGGAACTGCAAACATGCACCCAATACCAAGTTAGAGAAACGAAATATCTTAGATTATGCTGCTAGATGTGCCACTGATGCTGCCAGTGATAATGCGACTGCTACTCTGCGATGGACAATCACCAAGAACTCTTCCACGATGATATTGGCTTCCCAGTCGCCGTGAAGTTCCGTGAGTGTGGTCACATCCCATTTTTCTCTCAGAAACGTGAAGAGACAACAGACCTTCTCAATATTATCTGTGCGCTGAAAGTCGATGCCTGCTGCGTTGATGGTGCCAACCAGGAAAGGGTCCCCAGACTTCAGTACTCGAAGGTGAGACGAACGATGGCGGTGACGTAGGCGAACCCTGTTGCGCCCGCGCGCCGGCGCAGCCGAAGTGAAACACGAGTGGTGACGCTTGTGCTCTGACGGAACTACATCAGGTATGTAATTATGTGGATCCGCCCGTTTTAGCCCACCTGCGAAAGGCCAAACGAAGACGTAAAGGATTGAATTGTGAATTGTGCATCATTTCGTCGCTCATCATGTCGACTGCCGACATGGAGACCAGGAACCCCACGACGAGCGAGGTACCCGGCAGGTGGTCGAGGTAAGATCTCAGAACATAAGCCCCTCCGTGGAGGGGGGAGCCAACCAGATGCCCCAAGATTCGTTCAACAGCCCCACGTCCCGGATCAGCATGAAAAACACACCGAAAAACACCTGGATCTCGACCAGCAGTTTGACCCAAAAGAACAGGATCCTCATTTTCCTCATCCCCGTCTCCTGGATCAACTTGTCGATGAACGCTTCTCCCTGGACCTCGGAGAGGTTGATGCCCACCAGGGGGTTGCTCACAGACGGCCCCGCCTGGGAGCGTCCGGGAGCGCGGTGATCTAAGTTTTCATGGCGGTTGTGGCTCCTCTTCCGGCCGCTGCGGGCCTCTGGTACCTCTAGTGACCTCCAGAGGCCCGAAGGGCCCTCCACGCCATGAAGATTTCTTTCCCTCAAGCGTGGGCCACATTGGCAGCGTAGAGCAGCACCACCTGGCGAGTCGGAAGCTAGGGCCTCCACGACCCTCACAGATCGATCCGGCTCGAAACATGTCTCCAGGCATCAAGTCCTGCAGCTGGCCTCCGCATGCCCCCCCGAGGACTCCCAGTTGGCCTCAACACGTCTCCCGAGCAGTCCGGGGCGATCTCAGCACCCCCACCCAGGGGGCGGAGCGCCCCTGGGGCGTCGCCGGGGGCGGCGACGGGGCGTTGAGACCGCCGCAGGCTACTCGTTGGACCTGTTGAGGCGCCGTTTTGGAGAGTCGGGAGGCCGAAGAGACGAGAACGCCCAAATCCTTCAAAACCGCCGCCGCGGAGCCCGAGGCCTCGGGCGCAGGGGGGGCTTGCACGGGGGAGGGTGGAACCGCCTCGCCGCTTTGCGACCAGGATGGCCCTCCCTCCATCCTCCCCCTCCTGCACATGGTGTTGCACGTCGGCACGCGTGCACTTCGTGCGCTTAGGCGGTACGCCCTCGGCCGCCCGCCTGTCTTAGTGGTGTGGCGTGCACACTGTGTCCGCGTTCTATGCTGCACATATGAGGAGGAAAGGGAGGAAAGGGAGGAGGAGGAGGAGGAGGAGGAGGAGAGAGGGAGAGGAGGAGGAGGAGGAGGGTGGAGGAGGAGGCGGAGGAGGAGGACGGAGGAGGGAGGAGGCGGAGGGAGGCGGAGGAGGAGGAGGAGGGAGGAGGGGGAAGGGAGGAGGGGAGGAGTCCGAGAGGCAGGAGGAGGAGGAGGAGAGGAGGAGGAGGAGGAGGAGGAGGAGGCGGCGGCGGAGGCGGAGGCGGAGGCGGAGGAGGAGGGCGGAGGGAGGCCGGAGGCGGAGGCGGAGGCGGAGGAGGTGGGAGGAGGAGAGGAGGAGGAGGAGGAGGAGGAGGAGGAGGAGGAGGAGGAGGAGGAGGCGGAGGAGAGAAGGAGGAGGAGGAGGAGGAGGAGAAGGAGGATGGGGGAGAAGGAGGAGGAGGAGGAGAGGTGGAGACATGGAAGGAGGAGGAGGGACGGCGGAGTGGAGGAGGAGGAGGACGGAGGAGGAGGAGGAGGAGGAGGGATGGAGGGAGGGAGGGAGGGGGAGGGGTGAGGGGGAGAGGGGGAGGGTAGGGGAGGGGGATGGGCGCGAGGGGGTAGCGCTCGGAGGAGGGGAGGGGAGGAGGTGGAGGTGGAGGAGGAGGAGGAGGATGGAGGGGGAGTACGAGGTAGTGGAGGAGGAGGGGGAGGAGGGGAGGAGGAGGGGATGGGATGATGATGATGAGGAGTAGGATGAGGAGGAGGGGGAGTAGAGTGGAGAGGTGGAGGAGGAGGAGGAGAGGAGGAGGGAGGGAGGGAGGGAGGAGGAGTGAGGGAGGAGGAGGAGGAGGGGAGGGAGGAGAGATGGGGGGCGGAGGAAGAGGAGGAGGGACGGATGAGGAGGAGGGGGAGGAGGAGGAGGAGGAGGAGGAGGAGGAGGAGGAGGAGGAGGAGGAGGAGGAGGAGGAGGAGGAGGAGGACGTCGAAGAGGTAGAGGAGGTAGAGGAGGTCGAGGAGGCCGAGGAGGTCGAGGGCGGGCCGCGCGCGGGGTGCAGGAGCCCTCGCCCAAGTTATGCCCGCGCTTGTTCGCGGCCTCCGCGCCGCCCTGCGGCCGCCGGCGAGGGGCGCCTTCGGCAGGAGCCCCCCGCCGCCGCCGTAATTGTCGTCGTCGTGCCCGTCTTCGTCGTCGTCGTCGTCGTCGTCGTCGTCGTTGTCGTGCTCGTTGTGCCCGCCGTCGACGCGGTCGCCGCCGTCGCTGTCATGTTCGTCGTCGTCGTCCTCGTCATGCTCAGTGTGCCCGTGGCGCTCGTCGTGCCCGCGTCGTCACCGTCGTCGTGGTCGTCGTCGTCGTCGTCGCTGTCCTCGCCGTGCTCGTCGCGCTTGTCGCCGTCGTCGTCTTTGTCGTCGCCGGGCTCGTCGTCGTGCTCGTCGTCTTCGTCGTCGCCCGAGCTTTTGTGCTGTGTTTGGGGTGGGGTGGGTGTGGCAGCGTCGTTTGTTCCCAGCCATCCTGTGGTATTGGGTCCTCGTCTTGAATACGCATCACCTCGCATCTCCGCCCCTTGCCCCTCCCTCCTCCCATCTCTGCCTTTTTCATCCGCGTATCCTCATTGCCATCATCATCATCATCACCACCATCATCATCATCATCACCATCATCATCATCATCAGCATCATCACCATTTTCTTGACCACCATCACCATCAGCATCATCAGCGTCATCATCATACTCAGCATCAACATCATCAACAACATTGTCAGCATCATCGTCATCATCTTCACCATCATCATCAGCATCATCATCATCGTCAGCATCATCACCATAATCGCCACCAGTTGTTCCACCATCATCACGATTACCATCATCACTATCATCATCATCATGATCACCACCACCACCACCTTCGTCATCATCAGCATCATCATCCTCATCACCATCATCATCATCATCATCATCATCCTCATCTTCAGCATCGGCATCGTCTTTTTCATCATCAACACGGTCATCATCGTCACAGTCGTCGTCGGCACCATCATCACCATCATCACCATCAGCATCATCGTCATCATCACGATCAGCATCAGTATCAACATCAGCATGATTATCAGCAGCACCATCAACGGCTTCAGCATCATTGGCACCATTATCGTCACTATCGTCACCATCGTCACCATCGTCATCATCATCATCATCATCATCATCATCATCATCATCACCATCGTCGTCGCCACCATCAGCAGTACCGTCGCCAGAATCATCATCACCATCATCGCCACCACCAGCATCATCATCATTGTCATCATCATCACCACCATCATCACCACCATCATCAGCAGCATCATCATCATCGTCATCGTCATCGTCATCGTCATCGTCGTCATTGCTGTTACTTTCACCGTAATCATCATCATCATCCTCATCATTATCAAGATCAGCATCACCATCGCCAGTCGCATCAGCAGCATCAGCATCGTCACCATCACCACCAACATCACCACCACCACCGCCATCATCATCGTCGTCGAGGTCAATTGCGTCTTCGGCGCCAATATCACCATCATCATCATCATCATCATCATCATCATCGTCGTCGTCGTCGTCGTCGTCGTCGTCATCAGCATCATCATCCTAATCCTCATCCTCCTCCTCATTCTCCTCCTTATCATCGTCGTCGTCGTCGTCGTCGCTCGCGCACGTTTCGTGGCTCTGTGGGGAGCTCCACCGAAGGTCCCAGTGGCAGGATTCTCGAGGCCGTGCCGCAGCCCGATGGGGAGCTCCACCGACGGCGCCAGTGGCAGGAGCCGTATGCGTGAACGAGTTCATTTTGGCACAGCCCTCACACGCTTTGTGCCCCCATGGGGCATGGCGTTCCAAGGCCCTTGCATCCTCACCGCGCATCCTTACTATCCTGGTCGAGTGTATGCATGACCCTGGCGAGGTTGGGTGGTTCTCCCGGGCTCCTCCATCCTTGAAGGGCGGGGCGGGCGCAGGTCGGGAAGTCACACGTGTTGATGATGAATCTTTCACGCGGTCCATATTTCGCGGAATGTATCGTTGGGATGGATGAGTTCTGAAAGAGTGATGCGCGGCCCAGAATGATGCTGGTAATACCCGCCCGCATGGTGGATCTGGGATGTGTTTATGCACGTGCGTGACTGCGAGTTCCCCTCAGATGCTCTGCGGGACACACGTTGCCGTGACGACGGGGGCGGGGCGCCGTTACGACGGCCAGTCTAGTGCATCTCATGCCGAGGGTCGAATTTCAAGTTTCACATTGAAGTCTGATATTTTTTGACAGGTGACCATGCCCATTTCGGTACAAAGCCCTCTCACGTTTCGAGCTCCAAGTGCCCCAGTGGCAGCAGCCGCATGCGTGACCGTGCCCATTTTGGCACACCCCTCACAAGTTCTCTTGCCCCACCGGGAGCTCCACCGAAGGCACCAGTGGTAGGAATCGCATGCGTGACCCCTCTGCGGCACACCCATCACACGTTGACGTGGTCCGGTAGGGAGTTCCACCGAAGGCCTCAGTGGCAGGCATCGCGTGACTTGCATGCGTGACCGCGCCCATTCGGAGCTCCACTGAAAGCCTCAGTGATAGGAATCGCATGCGTGAATGCGCCCATTTGGGACACCCCTTACACGTTTCGTGGCCCCACAGGGAGCTCCACCTATGTCCCAGTGGCAAGAACCGCATCCGTGATCGCGACCACTGTGGCACATTCCTCACACATTCTTAGCCCCATACGGAGCTCCAACGAAGGCGCCGCCGTCTGCTGCTCCCCAGGTCCGCGTCGACGGACGCGCAGATTAGAGGGAACGGGTTATGTAACCCGTTCTGGCTGACCGCTGCGACCTTATCAGCAGTCTTGCTCCGTCTTTCCCACGCACGCCTTAGTTCTTTGGCTAGCCCCCTCCCTCAGTTTCAATCTGTCTTGCGGTACTTAAAGCTGGTTGGGTCCCTTTCCAGGCTAAGATTCTGTCTTTTTGGCCTTCTGGGGGCTCTCTCGTGGCGCCTCCCGGGGAATCACAACTGATTTTCAGAGGAGGGTGCAGAGGGGGGAGGAGGAGGGGGAGGACGGTCTTGACGAGGAGAGTTTGATACACAACGCTTCGCCTGAACACTGCCGTGCGTCCTTGAGTATTGAACGTGATCGGGTCTGTGGTGGTTGCCAGGCCCTTTTGGGTCCGCCGTGTCTGATGTGTCTGTCTGGTCTAGTGTACCCCTCGTCTGTCTCGTCTGGGTCTGTGACGTCTGCCTGGTCAGGATTAGTATGTCTTGTTTCTCTGTCTCGTCGTGGTCGCCCTTCTCTTTGACCTCCTCCGTCTCCTCGTCCTTCTCCTTCTCCTTTCCCTTCTGCTCCGCACCCTGAGAACGGAGCCTAGTGCCGCGTGAGAGGAGCACCCCGCTCGGTGTGCTCCCCGTGGCGCTTCGTTTCTGCTGGTCTCCGTGCCCGCCTTCCTGCTGTGCCAGCGTCCGCTCCGCGATCCCGCGGGTGGGAGCTGCCGACCTTCTCTGGCACTCGGGCGGTCGTGCACGACCTCCCATTCGCCTGTGCACGCCATGGCGCCCTCGTCTGGAGCCTGGCGTCCGCCAGCCAGCGTCGTATCCTCCTCCTCCTCCTCCCTCCTCCTCCTCCTCCTCCTCCTCCCTCCTCCTCCTCCTCCTCCTCCTCCTCCTCCTCCTCCCTACCCTCCCTCCATCCCTCCCTCCCTCCCTCCCTCCCTCACTCCCTCTCATCTTCCTCCTACTCCTCCTCCTCCTCTCCCCTTTTTTTTTTTTTTTCTTTTCTTTTTTTTTTTTTTCTTTTTTTTTCCTCCTCCTCCTCCTCCTCCTCCTCCTCCTCCTCCTCCTCCTCCTCCTCCTCCTCCTCCTCCTCCTCCTCTCTCTGGCACTGCCTTGGTGCCATCCTGGCCCCCGAGCCGCTGCGCGGGCCGCCTCGGGGCCAGCCCGATGCCCGAGGCCCTGTGTCGGGCGACGAGACCCGTGCACTCCTGGGGCCCATCCTGGGCAGGCTCCGTGCCTCTGCACGGCCCTCGCCCCGTCGTCTGCTGGCCTTCGGCCTCTCCCGCGACCAGGCCCCTCGATGTTCAGTCCTGGGGGGCCGAGGAACAATACCTACAAGGGACACGAGGGCACTCCAGCTCGTGCGTCGCAGCACGGTGGCGGGCTGGTGGTGGCCGCTTCGAGGGCCGTCGGGGCGGATCAACCCCGCGCTGGTGATTCGGGGGGTGGGATGGACGCACTTTTCGGGTTCATCGCTGCTGCTGGTCGCGCGCTGGTCATGGAGCCAAAGTCGGATTCGGCAGACGGGAGTGCCCATTCGGAGATTCGCGACCAGAAAGGCAAGCTGATGACGAAGGAGGCGGCGTAGGACGAGTACCTAGAGCTGGAGTCCAAGGGCACTCGGCGTCCTCGCTGGCTCCGCCCCCGCTTTGAGCAGCTGGAGACCTTCCTTGGAATCGACGAGCCCTGAGTCGTTGTTCCTGCACTGATTATACGCCTCTATAAGGATTCTTTGCGATATCTGGAAATCTGGAAATCGGAACGAGGAGGAGGAGGGGGAGGAGGGGGAGGAGGAGGAGGAGGAGGAGGAGGAGGAGGAGGAGGAGGAGGAGGAGGAAGAGGAGGAGGAGGAGGAGAGGAGGAGGAGGAGGAAGGAGGAGGAGGAGGAAGAGGAGGAGGAGGAGAGGAGGAGGAGGAGGAGGAGGAGGAGGAGGAAGAGGAGGAGGAGGAGGAGGAGGAGGAGGAGGAGGAGGAGAAGGAGGAGGAGAGGGAGGAGGACGATGATAACGAAGAGGAGAACGAGGAGAACGAGGAGGACGGAGGAGACGGAACAGCAGCAGGAGCAGGAGCAGGAGCAGAGCCTGCGCCCAGATGCTTCTCCTCCGCGAAGCTCGTGGCCCCCCCGATGACCTACATCTCGGGGGAGGAGCTGCCCCGCGGACGCGCCTTTCGGACGACTTGCTCCGGGCCTTCCTCCCCGCCTTCCCCGTTCGCTCCCTTCGCATCATGGCGCCAACATCGCAGAGCGGATCTCATTCGGAAAACCAGGAGTGTCGTGGAGAACCTCGTTCTGGATTTCGACGTGAACTTCGCGCGGATTTTTTGCTGGCCAGGAATGAAGACCTAAACATAAATCCACGTGAATTTCACCTCGTTTTTCACTCGCCGTTTCGGGCTCTTGCCTTGCAGAAATCCACGCGAAAATCCGCTGCAGCACATCTGCAAGGTCGGTGCAATGGTCCCTCCCTCCCCTCGCATCCTCCTTTCCCCCGCTTCCTCTCCTGTCCCCCCGCCCTTCTCTCGTCCCAGCTGCGCAGGGGAGCAGGATGCGGAGGAGGAGGGCAAGATGCGCCGCATCGAGCAGCAGCAAGCAGCGTGGCATCAGAGCATCCACTTTCCGAGGGAGGTCCCCGTGGCCTGCCATCGCTCGGACGTGTGCGTTTTTTCTTCGGTCAGGGCCATCGAGGAACATCCTTGACCATCTGGCGAAAACACCGCGCACGAAAGCGAACAAAAAACACGAAACATGGACGTCCGAGCGATGGCGAGTCTGGGAGCTTCTGGGAGCCCTTTTGGGCCCCCCGTTGGTGGCGGTGCCTCTGGCGCCGCCCCCTCCGGGGAGGGGGAGGCGCCCTCTCGTCCGGGGAGCGTCCTCGGCAGCGCTCGGGCGTGTGAAGCTCTGCCCGGCGAGGGGCCAGCGCCAGAGAGCCTGTCCCATGCAGGAGCGTGGTGGGTCTTCTTGTGTGATGGGCCTGTCGTCCACCACCACCACCACCACCATAGATTGGAGGGAGGGGAGGAGGAGGGCGAGAAGGAGCAGGTGGAGTCCTCTTCAGGAGGACGAAGAGGAGGACGAAGAGGAGGAGGAGGAGGAGGAGGAGGAGGAGGAGGAGGAGGAGGGCCCCCTCCCCCTCCAACTTATGGTGGTGGTGGTGGTGGTGGAAAACTGGCCCAGCATTGTGAAGGCGAAACTGAGCAATCTCACGTAATTGACGTCCGAGCGATGGCGAGCGGTGTCCAACGCCTGCCCCGGAAGTTCGCGCGAATCTCCGAATATGCACGTTTGTAGTGCTATGACTATCATCGTTGATAGGCCTAACATGTGTAGTACGACCTGTCTTATTAGGACATTCTTGATGCTGTTAGGCCTGTCTTATCGTATAGGCCTAACATGTGTAGTACGACCTGTCTTATTAGTACCTTATTAATGCTGTTAGGCCTAACATGTGTAGTACGACCTGTCTTATCGTATAGGCCTAACATTGTTACTGCTGTTTTTCTTCTACGACATCGATACCTTTATCCCCGTTTTTGCCTCTCCTGGCCTCCCAGGGTTGCTCTACGCGGCCGGGGCTGGATCCACCCTGGAAGTAATTAGCGGTGTCGGCACATTCCGGTCAATTCAACACAATCTGGGGGCTCTTTGTTTGGGCCCCTGGCCCAACCAAAACAATCCACAGCTGGATATCCATACGAACGAAGGGGTCGACAACCTGCGGCAGCCTCCCGGAATTTGGCTCGTTCAAGGTTGAACGTTTCACGCAGGCGCAGAGACCAGGGTCAATGTCGTCGCGAAAAGTGTTCGCTTTAGAATGCAATTGTTCCTTGTGTTTTGTGGCCGCCAGTCGTATCAATCATGTAGCAACAACCATCAGCTAACGTTACAATCTAGTGACGCCCTCGCGAGAGCCCGTGTGCACTTGGTAGAGGGATGGTGCTAGTGCTTGTGGTGGAAGTAGTGGTGTTGAAGTCGTGGTATAAGAAGTATGTGGATGCGTAGTACGAGTGGGACTAGCAACGGGCGGCAGCTCGCAGCAGTCAAAAGGGATACTATGATGGCTTAGTCGATACGAAAACGTTTTCACTGTGACAGGTGCTTGCCAGTTAGGGTGGTGAAGTGGCGCTTCGAAGAATGAGGCGACGGCGGCGAGGATTGAGAGGGTATTACTCGTTTGCCCGCCGAGGAGATGTCCTGGTACACCATGAAGCTAATTTGTGAAAAGTGGGTCCATCCTTTCGTTGACACCTCGAAGTGGGAGTTCTTCGACCTGAGCTGCAAGTCCCGCGACGCCACCAAGGACCAGGCGCCCGCTGCGCTCTTCTTCTTGCGCTCGGGGCACGGCCGCGGGGCCCCAGTCCAGCCCGCATTCGGGGCCCGTCCTGCTCCGCTCTCCCCGCTTTCTGCTCCTCGTTCATCCTCCTCCAGTCCTCGTCGTCGTCTTGCTCCTCCTACCCCTCCCCCCCCATCGCCCCTGTGTCACCTCTCTCCCTCGTGAAGAAACGCATCCTTGTCGCACCACCAGACGTGGGCAGCGTGTGCCGGGCGTGCCACCTTAGATTCTGCTGCAGTGTATTGGCATGCAGCTCAGAGTCACAAGCGATTGCATGTGTGGAGGGCAGAGTGTTGTTTCGACATCACGCTCTCGGCTGACATGTCGTCAGTGCGCATGTGTCCGTAAATGCTTACACGCATCGTCCCCTCCTGTTTTTGCTCACTCGTCGTCATTTTTTTCTTCGTCTTGTCATTAGGGCTCCCAATACAGTCAACACTGATAGTAAGGAACGACTCAATTAGATTTCCCTTGCATCCTTTCCCTCGGCCCATTCTTGGCCAATTTCGTTGGCCGCGCCCCGTTCAAGAAGTGTCGTCATGGCCTTCAAGGCTCTTGAATCCTTATCGGTGCATCCTCACTACCAGTTTTGACTGCACATGAGCACTCCGAACTTCAAGATCAGAGAGCAACACCATCAAACTGCGAATCCTCCCTCTCCCCCGGGCGCGTTCACGCATTCTGGCACTTCTCGTCCGATCCATCGTCCGGGGTCAGATTTTTTTTGAGCGGACCTTAGTTGAAATGCCCAACACATTAGGGGTCGGGGGTCTTTTTAGCAGACGTATCAAGCGAAACCATATACATTACGTTCCCTAGTGCGAAGACATTGACCTAAGTTAGTTAGACTACGTCTTCATTGTGTTATCAGGGTTAGGGATTCTATTAGTGTCGATGAATCGTGCAATCAACACATCAAATCGAATGTAATAGTATTCAGGAGGTTTACGCCATTCCGCCGACCCCCAGAAGAGGAAATGTGCGGATTCCGAACTCGTGCGCATTGGTTGACAATTCCCGTCGTGTTGCCTTCGTGTAGTCGTTGACGATTCGTCCTCCTCTCGTCCTCCTGCTTTGGGCCTCTTGGAGGCCCAGGGGGCGGCCTTTCAGCTTACTGGGCTGTTTTGGGGGTCTGCCCCGTCCTCTACCGCATGCTGTTTCGAGGCGTCTTCTTCGTCCTGCTGTGGCTGGCCCCATCCAGGTGGTGGGCCCGCCCCTCATCTCTCGGGCGCTTCCAAGAGGGGGTGATGACTAGGGTGTGTTTGTTTGTGTGTGTGGATGTCATGGCCAGGGCCACGATCTCTCCTTGGATGTCACATGCCCCTCTTCCTTCCTTCAGTGCGTCACCCGGCCCCCCCCCCCCGTCTGCGCACATTCGGTGGTGGACAGAACCCCCAGCCTGACACGTCGATTAGTGAATTGTCCGTTTTCGGTTCTCGAGAGGGCCGCCGCGGCCGTCATTTTCCAGGCTTGCTCCCGCCAGGTTTGGGCCCGAGGTTGTTTTCACGAAGCCACGTCCTACTAAAGGGGGTTCTGTCCATCCCCGAGCGTGGGGACCTGGCACCAGCGTGGACGCATGCAGGGGCTCGTTGCGCAGGGGGGGCTCCCAGGCAGGTCCAGGGGTGAGGCTGCAGTCGGACCGAGGAGGAAGGTCGAGGTCGCCCCCCCCCCCCCCCCCGCATGAACGCCTCCCCCCCTCCTCCTGAACGCCCATGCCTCCAGCCACGAATTGCCCCCTCCCCCCCCCCCCCCCTCCCCGCCCCCCCTCCCCCCTCCCCCCTCCCTGAACGCCTCCCCCCTCGTTCGCCCCCGCGTCTCGCCCCGCTCCCCGCCGCGCTGCGTTCCGCCGCCCTTCTCCGTGAGCGGTCCGGCGGCCCGGCCCGTGACCTGCTCCGCACAGGGGGCCCCCCTCGGCCTTCCTCCTCCCCCCTAATGCCTTCCTCCTCCTCCTCCTCCTCCTCCTCCTCCCCAGCTCCCTTTGCTGCCAGATCTGTAACCACGAGGCTCAAACTCTTGAGGATTACCACGCACACATACTTGAGCACATAGCAGGGCCAGAGTCGATCAGAGCAGCACGGGGAGAAGGAGCACATGTCGCACGTGGGCCACGGCGACTGGCGCATCAGGGCCAGCACGAAGAGAGGAGGAGGCGCAGCCGAAGGGCAGCGACCAGCACAGCGCCCACTCCTCGGCGGCGGCGGAGTCGGCTCGTCAGACACGCAGCAGTCGCAGCAGACGCCGCAGCAGCCGCCTCCCACCCAGCGCCGAGGAGGAGGAGGTCGAGGACCCCCAGGAGGCGGCCGTGGTGGGGGAGGAGGAGGCCAAGTGGAGCTGCGGGACCAGCTGAGATCGCTCCAGAGGCTCACTCTCCAGAACTCGAACGAGATCCGCAACTTTCTGCACCTCACGGGAGAGTTCTGGCTGACGCCGCTCGAGCCAGAATGGGTGCAGGCGCCGATGGAGACAGGCAGGGAGTACGGGCGGAAAGTAAAGCAGCTGGGCAAAGGGCACGGCCTCGGCCCACCTCATGGCCAGGTGGCGGCGAGTCTAGTCGAGGAGATCGTGGCGGTTCTCGACACGGAGGAGCAGCAACTAGACGCGTCCCTCCTCCACGTGAGACAGCTCCTGAAGGAATTCATGAGCCAGCTCGACGAGCCCTGGGGACCAATCTTCATCACGGAGGTCTTCTTGCAGTGCAAGATCCAGGAGGCATACAACAAGACGGGCGAGGACGTGGAGATGGACATCAAACAGTGCAAGGCCAAGCTCATCTACACGATCAACACGGCGCCGAGCTTCAGGGCCGTGCTGTACGACCAGAAGCTGGAGCAGGAGCAGTACGACAAGATAGCGGGCTTCAAGGGGGACATATTCAAGCAGGCCCTGGGCCACGCGCTGGCGCACCTAGGGGCCACGAAGAGCCGCTCAGGAGGCCCGAAGACGGGCCTGGAGAGGGCGGTGGAGGCGCAGCTCAACAGGAGGTGAGCCAAGGCACACCTCAGACAATGCCCAGCAGCTCGCCCCGCCGCGAGCGAGAGAGCCCCGCGGGCCAGCCCTCGCCAGGCCCGCAGCCCAGCGGAGCCAGCAGCTCGATGTCGAGCAGCGCCACCGAACCACGCCTCAACACAACGGGGCGCCCTCGTGCCTGGCCACCATCATCACCGCCAGTGAGCCGAGAGGAAAAAATTGCACAGCAGATCAGTGCAGACCTTGTTCGTATGACGAGTCTCAGAAGCCAGGCCGAACAACACGGAGGCCAGATGGCATACCTATATCGGATGGCTACGTACTATCGGGACCTACGACCAAGGGATTATTACCAGCCTATGGCAAAAAAATGAGGGGGACGGCGGCTTTTCTAATTATGCAGCCGTCACCCTACAATTACACGGGCTCCCACTACCTACGCCCTCTCCCCCACCAACTCCCACTTCCCAACCTATCATCTCTCTCCAGGCAACCAGCTCTCTACTAGTGTCACTCACATACGGGGTTTGTCTGTCCTACAGTATTGTTGATGATGCTCGAAGCATGATGTACCACGACATCGTAACGACCAGTATACAGAACGACAGTACATGCTACAGGGTACACATCGCGTACTACGACAGCATACACAGGGAACTACCATACCACATCAACCAGCACAGCCATGCGTTTGTGATCCGACCACGGTCTGACCTCTCCTCTCCTGCTCAGCTACATCCAGCTCTTGCCTGCTTTAGCTATTACAACTGTTACCTATCTCGACATCCAGAGAATAGAGTGAGTAAGAGTTGCATACTAAGGAAAGGCACATGACTCCGACAGCAGCGAACCACTGTGCCTACGCCTACTATCACACCAAGGTCTTACTACGGTTCCTTACGGCCCAACCACTGGGAACTAAGGAAACTACTACAATATCTAAGGTGTACAACAGTAGGCGGGAACAACTAAGGTAACGAGGATTGGTATACAGCTCGACATACTACCAGAGGACATTTGCGACTCGAGCATCTTCGCGGCTTCCCATCCAGTGCTGGCGGCCACTCCGCCTACATCCAGAGCCAGCGCCCAGAGGGCGCACGGCCAGTGTTGCAATGGCGGCGCAGGCGCGCATGGAGAAGGGCGAGATGGCGAAGCAGCCTGCCGCAGAAGATCATCTGCAGCCGACGATTGTGCAGAAGCCGCTCGACAGGGGAGGCATGGGAGGAGTGGCGGACCAAGTGGCGGGCACGGCGGCGCACAGGCTCGAGGTCGCGCACAACACGCTCCAGAGTACGGCCGTGTCGTTCAAGGTGGCGACCGAGCACTGCAAGAAGGCCCTCCACGCGCTCCACAAGCAGCGGGGGAGGGTGGTGACCACCCTGGGCCGCTTGAATGCGAAGAGCCTCAACCCACACGAGGAAGCGGAGCGCAGCCAAGCGGTGCTCTACCTCAAGGAGCAGCTCCACGACGTCAACGGTGCCATCAGCTCAATGAGGAGCGCCATCGGCATCACCGACGACAAGATGGGCAAGACCATGCGCGGGCCGATGCCATGGGAGCTGGACTTCACGAGGCGCCAGTACGACGAGCTCGACAACATATACACGCGCTGGACGAAGGGCCCGCACGGCTACGCATACGACGAGGCGTTCTTCGCGGACGACATGCAGACGGAGCCAATGGTGGAGCCGCAGATGGAGATAAAGGACTACCTCCAGCCTCCACGCAGGCCGCCGTGCACCAACCCGAGCAAGAGCATCGAGGGCTGGGAGAACCGTGGCAAGGTTCTCAGCAGTGAGGCCAGCTCGAGCACCCCAGCCGCCGCCTCGGCAGTCACTAAGGATGACAGCTCGGCCCAGAGCAGGGACGTCAGGCTGTCCTCGCCAAGGGCGGCAGCGGCAGCAGGCTGGGGCATAGGGCAGCAGCAGTAGTAGAGAGCAGACAGCACTAGGCCTGGCCTCCCTTTTTTTCTCTCCCCACTACTACCACAAGGGAGGGCTCGGCAGCAAGCACTCAACGCATGGGCCAGTGCGGCCATGCACTACATATGCCGAGGGCAGGGAGTACCAGGCCGCCCCTTTTTTTTTGCCTCTCTTACCGTCCTGGGAGTGGGGGAGGAGGAGGGCGTTGGTGGGTGGGCTCTCAGCGGTGAGGGGTGCGCCCAGCGAGGCAGCCCCACATCGCCTGCAACAGTCGACAGGCCGCAACCGAGGCAGGGTCTCCCTGCTAGCGAGGCTCGGGGCCCCGTCGACACAGGCGGGCCCCGTCGCCTCAGGCGGCCCCCCCAAAGCAAGGGTGGGCCCGCATCCGTATGCTTCCCAGGGGTCAAAGCCTTTTTCGGTAGGCGGCAAGACCAGACCCCCAAGGGCCTTATCCTATATATCCTCCTCCTCCTCCTCCTACTCGGAGGTCGGGCGTGTCCTCCTACAGCCGAGTCTCGGACGATGAATTGAAAACAGTAGAGCAATGTCGAGCAACAGGATCAAGATACTCAACAAATCGTCCCCGTACCATTTTCTGGCAATCTTTTTTTAAGTTTCCCTCCTGTAGAGGGATACGCCCGACCTACTCCTTCCCCTCCTCCTTGTCCCGTCCTTTGGGGGTCGCTCGGGCGCGGGCGAGGGCGGTCTCTGCCTGCGCCCCCCCCCCCCACCCCCCCGCCCGCCCGCGAGCCGCCTGCCCTGAGGGGCCCGATGGGCTCACGGGCAGCGCCCCTTCGCATCCTGTTGCGAAGGCCTTGCGGCCGGTGCCGCCGACCCTGAGGGTGCCCATCAAAACCACTCGGGGCGTCTTGGAGCCCTCCTGGGGCGACTTCCGGGCTTCGGTCGCTGTTTTGAGGCCAGGTTCGGTATTTTTTGGTGGGCATCTGGGAGGCCACGGGGTGCATCTTCTTTTCCTCTCGCCCCCCCTGGTCCTTCGCGCGCTGTCTTGCGCGATGCTCCCCCGCGGCGCGGCCCCCGCCCGGGCCCCACGCCTCTTTCCGAGGAGGTTGATCGTCCATCGATCGTGGTTCGAGCCGCTGGTTCCTGTCCGACTCCTGGTCTGACCGCGGTTTGTTGTCTTGTAAGTGTATCTGGTCACCGGTTAGTTTTCTATTATTGTATTTGGCCACTTGTTATATTCCTAGTATTGTATTTGCCCTCTTGGATTCTCGGATGCCGTACGTGTTTGTTTGATTGTCATGCCACCAAGTAGCACATCCCCCGCCCTCAGCGAATGGAGTTCGGCCAGAGCGCCAGGCCCCGGAGGCTCTTGCAATGCCGGCTTCTAGCTGAGCCGGGTGTGCGGGCCGTTCTCGGCCCTCGAGGTGGAGGGTTTCTCCGAAGGGCTTAGGCGGTCCGTCCTCCTCATCCTCCTCCACCTCCTTCTCCCTTCTCCTTCTCCTCCATCTCCTCCTCCCCCTCCTTCGCCTCCTCCCCTTCCCCCTCCTCGACCTCCTCCTCCTCTTCCTCCGGTCGCCTACGGCCCCGGGGGAAACCGTGGACCTAGAGGTGGTCCTACAGACCCGCTGAGCGGGATGCAGGGAACCCGGCTCTTCAGCACAGCTCTTTCTACACGGGTTGAGCCAGGTTTGCGCGGTTTACGGTGAGCCGCGTAAGTCCGCGTTTGCTGGAACAATTGGGAACGTCCAAGCCCTCGATTTTCGATTCGCCCTCCCCCAACATCCGGCTCTCCGATCTGTTCGATGCACTGGCCCCCCAGACCTCCGGACCCCCTCCTTGGGCCGGCTTCTCATTCCGGGCAGTCTTTAGATGGTCATGGCCGGCCGCCCCGATTTTTGTTTTGGACTCGCTTGATGTGTGCGTCGGGAAAGCTGGAGTTTTTTTTTCCGAAGGGCTTGGGCGACCCGTCCTCCTCTTCTCCTCCTCCTCCTCCTCCTCCTCCTTCTGCCTCCTCCTCCTCCTCCTCCTCCTCTCCTCCTCCTATTATCTCCTCATCTCTTTCCTCCTCCTCCTCCTCTCTCCTCCTCCTCATCTCCTCCTCCCCTTCTTCCTCCTCCTCCTCCTCCTCCTCCTCCTCCTTCTCCTCATCCTCCTCCTCTCCTCCTCCTACTCCTGCGCTCTATCCTCCTCTCCTCTTCCTCTTCCTCATCTCTCCTCCCCTTCTCCCCTCCCATCCTCCTCCTCCCATCCCCTCCTCCTCCTGCTCTTCCTCCTCCTCCTCCTCCTCCTCTCCTCCTCCTCTCTCCTCCTCCTCCTCCTCCTCCTCCCCCTCCCCCCCCTGCTCGGATCGCCTACGGCCCCGGGGATATCGTGCAAGAAAAGCAAGCTCGGGCGCGCGTCGGGGAGGTGCAGGGGCAACACTGAGGGGGTATATGCTCCAGAGGGGGGGGGGCTATGCGTCGACCTCCCCCCCAAACCGCTCATTCATCGCCGACGGGGGCCTGCCAGACTTCCCCGCCCAGCAGCACGGGGATGCGCTGTCCGGGGGGGCCCGTGGCCGTTCCATCGGCGAGGCGTCGCCGAGCCCAGACCCCCGGCGTGCTGTTTAATTTTCTGCTGGCTTGAGCCCCCGAGGTTCTGGTCCCGTTCCCTGGGGCGGACGCTTCATTCCGAGTCCCTTTCTCATCACGGCCCAGGGGTTCGTCAAGGGTCCCAGAAACCAGAAGACATAGAGAACCTCACGTTTTGTTCTTTCACGACGACGTGATGGGGTCTGGGATTCCAAAGTGCCTTCGGCGCGCGCGACCGTGCGCGGCGCTGGTCGGCGCAGCTTTTGCGCGGCGCCAGCGTTCCACAGGCAGTTTTTGCGGCGGCGACCGCGTGGCCAGGGTGTCCCGCTGCAGGGGTCGTTCGGCCGTCCGCGCCAGGGCGCCCAACTCCGCACCCCCCCCCCCTCTGAGCTGGCCCCCCAAACGTTCCCCGTCACTGGTACTGCGCGACGCAGAGAAAGTGGGGGCAGTCATTGACCCAGGACGTGGGCACTTTCCGCTGACGTGCGCGGTCAACCGCTCAGCTATGCTCGGAGGTGGCCTCGGACTCTTGGCGCTGTCCGCGCTGCAAGCTGCAGCGCCGAAGCTGCAACGGGAGACAGCCTGCTGCCAATCGGAAGCCTCCCCGCAGGTGCTGCACGACGCGGTGGCCTCCGGGGCGAAGCTCGGGGCCATCTTCAAGGACTACTCGTGCGCCCAGCGCCCGGGTCTCTCCTCCTCCTCCTCCTCCTCCTCCTCCTCCTCCTCCTCCTCCTCCTCCCCCTTTCCTCCTCCTCCGCCTCCTCCCTCTCCGCCTCCTCCTCCTCCTCTCCCCCTTTCTCCTCCTCCCCTTTCCTCCTCCTCACCGCCTCCTCCTCCGCCTCCTCCTCCTCCTCCTCCTCCTCCTCCTCCTCCTCCCCCCGCGCGTGCCTTTGGCTCTCTTCCGTGGTGCCATCGGACCTACGATCCCTGACATTGGAGGCCTCCCCGATGGGGTCACAGGGCACTCATGCTTTGCGTACACGGTTTCGGCAACTTCGGTCTTCTAACCAGTACGACGCCTCATTTGTTTGAGCAGTCTCGGCATGCGCGCGCGGCGAGGCGCGCGGGTCGAGGCACGCCTGTCGTCTTTGTCCTGTGCGTTGCAAGGGTTGTCATGAAAACGGCTGATTTGTGATAAGCGAGTGCGCGCGCACTTCATTACTTGGCAGGGGTGAGAGGGTGTCGACAAGAGGTATGGCTTGGATGGTGCGAGCTTATACGTAGGATGAACGATGGGGCAACGTATCCTGTACATTGCATTATCCTGGGGGGTGCCGGTAAACTCGGGGTGGTGGTTGCGTTTTTTTTTCAAACGAAAGAGAATCGATGCTGTGCAATCTAGGGCGGCGACATGGCGGCGACGGGGCGGCGACGGTGATGACGTAACCGCCGAACCGACGCTCAGGCCAAGACGACGGGCGGCGACGAGGCGGCGACGGGGCGGCGACGGCGATGCCATAGTCCCCAGACCGACGCGCAGGCCCAGACGATGGGCGGCGACTGCAACGCCACAGTCGCCAGACCGACGCGCAGGCCCAGACGACGGGCGGCGACGAGGCGGCGTCTGCGTGGCGACGGCGCCGACAGCTGCCAGACCGACGCGCAGGCCCAGACGACGGGCGGCGACGAAACTGCGACGGCGACTACTTAGCAGCCCGACTGTCGCCCAGGCCCAGACGACAGGCGGCGACGAGGCTGCAACGTCGACTAGCCCGACCGACGCGCAGGTCCAGTTCTGTAGAACACAAGGCAGAACCCCGAAGGGCAATCACTGTGGGGGGAATCTGTATCGAAGACGCCTACGGCGAATCACCGCCGCCCCCTGCCTTTGTGGAAGCGCCTATGTGGCCGAACGTTGAGGCCAGACCTGCCAAGCCATCGGACCATGTGTTCCCCGAATCGGTTTGGAAAGCCTTCGGGGAACACGTGGGCGTCTTGATGGTCATCGTCGCCGTCTTGGAGGCCTCTTGGGCGATCTTTCGGCGATCTTTGGGGGCTCTTGGGCCGTCTCGGGCCGTCGGAAGGCCGAAAAAAGGGAAATGCCAAAATCCAGCAAAAACCTAGGGAAAATCAGTGATTTTGGCATCTTTTGGCCTTCCTGGAGGCCCTCTTGGGGGCCTCTTGGGCCCTTTTGGGCCAGCTTCGAGCCAACTTCGGCCATCTTGGTGGGTTCCTGGCACGTCTGACGCCGTCGGGAGCCGTTTTGGGGGCCTTTCTGGGCCAACGGGGGACCCTCTTGGGGCGCTCCAGGGCCGTCTTGGAGGCCATCTTGGGCGTCTTGGAGGCCATCTTGGGCGTGTTGGAGGCCTCTTGGGCCGTCTTGGGGCCCTCTAGGGGCCATCTTGGAGGCCACTTGGGCCATCAGGGGGCTCTCTTGGGGGCCTCTTGGGCGATCTTGGGGGCTTCTTGGGCCGTCTTGAGCCGTCGGAGAGCCGAAAAGGCGCAAATGCCAAAATCCTTCAAAAACCAAGGGAAAATCAATGATTTTGGCCTCTTCGGACTCTCCTGGAGGACCTCTTGGAGGCCTCTTGGGCCGTCTGGGAGGCCTCTGGGGGGCCTCTTGGGCCGTCTTGGGCCGTCTTGGACTCTCTTGGGCCGTTTTGGAGGCCGTCTTGGACCATCTCGGGCGGACTTGGAGGCCATCTTGGGCCATCTTCGCGATTTTTTGAGGATGTCCCGAGCGAAACGGCCGTTTTTGGAGGATTTTTTCCGGATTGAGGTGTTTTCGGCTTCCTCCCGGGACCCCGGCGGGACGGCCGGAGCCCACTGGGGAGTTCTTTTGGAAAAAGAACCAAAACCAAAACCTGAAACGTCCAGCACGCCGTGCACCCCTGCAAGCAGGGGGCGGCGGATCGAAGACGCCTACGGCGAATCACCGCCGCCCCCTGCCTTTGTGGAAGCGCCTATGTGGCCGAACGTTGAGGCCAGACCTGCCAAGCCATCGGACCATGTGTTCCCCGAATCGGTTTGGAAAGCCTTCGGGGAACACGTGGGCGTCTTGATGGTCATCGTCGCCGTCTTGGAGGCCTCTTGGGCGATCTTTCGGCGATCTTTGGGGGCTCTTGGGCCGTCTCGGGCCGTCGGAAGGCCGAAAAAAGGGAAATGCCCAAATCCATCAAAAACCTTGGGAAAATCAGTGATTTTGACATCTTTTGGCCTTCCTGGAGGCCCTCTTGGGGGCCTCTTGGGCCCTTTTGGGCCAGCTTCGAGCCAACTTCGGCCATCTTGGTGGGTTCCTGGCACGTCTGACGCCGTCGGGAGCCGTTTTGGGGGCCTTTCTGGGCCAACGGGGGACCCTCTTGGGGCGCTCCAGGGCCGTCTTGGAGGCCATCTTGGGCGTCTTGGAGGCCATCTTGGGCGTGTTGGAGGCCTCTTGGGCCGTCTTGGGGCCCTCTAGGGGCCATCTTGGAGGCCACTTGGGCCATCTCTCTTGGGGGCCTCTTGGGCGATCTTGGGGGCTTCTTGGGCCGTCTTGAGCCGTCGGAGAGCCGAAAAGGCGCAAATGCCAAAATCCTTCAAAAACCAAGGGAAAATCAATGATTTTGGCCTCTTCGGACTCTCCTGGAGGACCTCTTGGAGGCCTCTTGGGCCGTCTGGGAGGCCTCTGGGGGGCCTCTTGGGCCGTCTTGGGCCGTCTTGGACTCTCTTGGGCCGTTTTGGAGGCCGTCTTGGACCATCTCGGGCGGACTTGGAGGCCATCTTGGGCCATCTTCGCGATTTTTTGAGGATGTCCCGAGCGAAACGGCCGTTTTTGGAGGATTTTTTCCCGGATTGAGGTGTTTTCGGCTTCCTCCCGGGACCCCGGCGGGACGGGCCGGAGCCCACTGGGGAGTTCTTTTGGAAAAAGAACCAAAACCAAAACCTGAAACATCCAGCACGCCGTGCACCCCTGCGAGCAGGGGGCGGCGGATTGAATGGTCTTCGGCCCATCCCGCCACCGTGCCTTGTTTGTGGGTCAGCGGTCTCGTGAATGTTGCGTGGGCGGGCCCTCGGGAATGTTTTTTGGAGGCACTTTTGACGCCTCCTTGGAGCCTCGTGGGAGCTTTTTGGAAACTCCTTAGGGTTTCCTGGGGGCGTTTTTGAGGCACTTTTGTTTCTCCTGGTTGCCTCTTGGAGCCACCCAGAGGCCTCTTGGGGCGGCGAGCTCGGTATTTTTGGTTCGTGTTCCCTCTCTGGGGCCCCTCTTGGGGCGTTTCTGGGGTCCTCTTGTGCCGTCTCGGGGTCCTCTTTGCGGCTTCTTAGGCTGTTCTGGGGCGATCTTTGGGGCCTCCTGGGCCGTCTTGGAACCTCGAGCAGCCGAAAAGGCAGGACATTCAACGATTTGTGTCTCTTGGGGCCCTCTTTGGAGTGCTCCTGGAAGCCTCTTGGGGCGTCTTGAAAGCGTCTTTGGCCGTCTCAGGCCATCTGGGACGTCTTGGAGGGATCTTTCGGCGAGCTTGGCCCCTTTTGGAATGTCTGGGTGGCATCCTGAGGCTTTTTTGATACGTTTCGGGGCCCTCCTGTGCTAAGGGGACTGTCTGGGAAGCACGCCCACGCGGGTCACCCCGGAAAGGCCAATCAGCGCCCGGGAGTTCTGGGAATTTCGTGGTCTGGACCTTGGCGAACCTTGCAACCCTTCCATCCACACCTCGGAACTGCATGGACCCTGGGGTAATCCACTTCGTGCTGAAGGCAACATGTATACACACACGTGCATAGATATTGGCACGTTTTTAATGTGTATATATATATAGATGCATAGATATTTTTGATGTGTGTATATATATATACACATTTTAAGGTGTATTTATACACATTTTAAATGTATATATATATACATAGAATGTTCATAGATATTTAAATGTGTACGCATTGATATTTTCAATGTATATATATACATATATAGATGCACGTCTATGTACGCATGTATGTATGCATCCATGTATGTATGTATGTCTGTAGGTATGTATGTATGTATGTATGTATGTATTCATGCCTGCATGTATGTACGAATGCATGCATGTATGGATGTGTGTATATATTCACGTATGTATGTATGTGTGTATATATATACGTTTATGAATATGTATATATATATAGGTATGTATGCATATGTATATGTATATGTGCGTGTGTATCTATGGACGTGTGTAGGTTTGTATGTATGTAGAGGTGTGTATGCATGTATGTATGTTTGTGTGAATGAATTTACGTATATGGCATACATTCATACATGTATAACCCAAGAGGCTGTCGAACCGCAGACACATCATAGATGCCGCATGGTCTTTCGTGTGAGTTTTGGCATGTGCTCTTTTTCTGTCTTCTGAGCGTCCGAGACCACCCAGACGGCCCGACTATCGCCCCAGGCCCGACTATCCACAAGAGCTTCCAGGCCCGCCTAGAATGACCCAGGACGGCCCGCCCAACGGGGCCTCAAGATGGCCAGAAGAGAGCCCCAGGACGGCCCAAGATCGCCCAAAGACGTCCCCTGAAGCAGTTCAAATGATGACCCAGTCGTTCAGGGAGACCGCGGTTGGAAGCAGGGTGGCCCGATGAAGCTTCCAGAGGCCCCAAGAAAGCCCCCAGAAGGCCTCCAGAAGGCCCCAAGAAGCCTTCAAATACTTTCGTGGTACCCCGAAGAGGCTTTCCAAGGAGGAGTATCCGCAAGAAGAGCTGAGGAGGATGGCGAATCATTCGTAGGGTACGGCGAGGATGGGGGAGATGGGGGGAAACCATGAGGACCAGATATTGGCAAACATTGTGATAACGACGACGTCGGGAGTGACAACAACCAGTCATCGCTAAAGCGTATGTTATACGTACCCTCCTGCCCGTTCTCTGACCAAGGTGCATGCCGCGAAGCGCCAATGTAGCCTTGTATGTGTGTGTATATACATCTATATATATATATGTATATTGTATATATGTCTGTACTATTTCGTACATGTGGCGCAGTATGTACCAACGGCCCTGCTCCACCATATCTGTCCGTATGCCATGTTGTTCGAACGATGTTGCGTTGTGTCTGGTGTTGCGATGTGGTGTTGCGAGCAAGGCGTAGGGATGATCATGGGCGCAGAAACAACGAGATCCAGGACGAGAACGATGCTGCTGCAGAGGAGGGATCTGAGAATCAGGGCGAGGGAGAGGGGGTGAATGCGGTGGACGGCAACGACGAGGGCGATGCTGCTGAGGAGGAGGAGGAGCACGAGGAGGAAGAGGATGATTATGATTATGATGCTGATGATGTTAATGATGATGTTGATGCTGACGACGATGCTAACGCTGATAAGGATGCTGATGATGATGATGATGATGATGATGATGATGATGATGATGATGATGACGCGGATGATGGTGCTGATGTTGATGCGGGTGATGTTGATGCGGGTGATGATGATGCTGATGATGATGCTTATGAGGATGCTGATGCTGTTGATGCTGATGCTGGTGATGATACTGCTGCTGCTGCTGATGGTGGTTATGTGCATGGTGATGCTGATGTTGTTGATGATGATGCTGGTTATGATGATGATGATGATGATGATGATGATGATGATGATGATGATGATGATGATGATGATGATGATGATGATGCTGCTGCTGCTGCTGCTGATGATGATGATGATGATGATGATGATTATGATGATGATGATGATGATGATGATGATGATGATGATGATGATGATGATGATGATGATGATGATGATGATGATGATGATGCTGATGATGATGATGATGATGATGATGATGATGATGATCATGATGATTGTGGTGGTGGTGGTGGTGGTGGTGGTGGTGAGGAGGAGGAGGAGGAGGAGGACGAGGAGGAGGACGAAGACGATGAACAATTATTTTGGATATGCAATGATAATGAGAAGGAGGCAGAAGAGGAGGTAGCAGGAGGAGGAGGAGGAGGAGGAGGAGCACCTCTGGAGCGCTCTCGACGAGGAGCAGTTGCCAGAAGGCATCCGAAAAGGCGAGAAGACAACCGAGAACAAGTTGGAACAACGTACGACAACATTGCAGCAGGCGGCACGGAGCCCCCGCACGCCCTCTGGGCGTCAGGGCTCTCTTACGGTCGTGGCGCTGAAGAAGGAACTCTTTCCGATGGGGAGGGGCTCCGTGTTCCTCATCTTTTGTCACAGTTTGCCTCACGCTGTCCTCAGGTCTTCGATGGGGAATCGAAGTGAAGCGTCTGGAGAAGAGGGGCCTCGTTCCTTATTCAGGGTTCCTTTGGTCAGCGCCCCGACCGTACGTGTTCGATCATGGACCTGTTTGTTGCATGCAGCCACCGCAACGGATCGCGCCGAAGACCGTCCGTCAGAAGACCGGCAACAGCCCGCCGAAGACCGCCGAAGACCGCCAGAGGACCGCCGAAGAGCGCTGGAAGCCGCCCAGAACATCCCGAGGCCGAGGGGTAGCCAGGGGTGCACGGTCAAGTCGGGCCTGTCCCTCCACAGGAGGAATATTCAAAAACAGTCAAAAACTAGTCCGGGGACGTTTTTTTTTGTGTTCTTGTCTGTTTATGTTGAATACTTCTAGGGTATTTTTAAGCTTTCGTCCAACATCCGCCTGCCGGGGGACACGCCCGACCTAAGTGCACGGTCGAGTGCACAGGCTCCTCGTCAGGGCGCGCCTCGCTCTCGGAGCCGAGGGGGGGCAGGCATGGAGGTGCCGGGGCCGCGCTGCCGCGGCCCGCCGTCCCGAGGAGCCCACCATCACGCCGACCGCGGACCAGGTGAAGAGCATGGGCCTCTCGAAGGCCGCGGGGTAGGAGTTTTCGGGGCGCTGTGCTCGATGGGCCTGTTCTCCACCACCACTGCCATAGGTAGGAGAGGGAGGAGGAGGAGGAGGAGGAGGAGGAGGAGGAGGAGGAGGAGGAGGAGGAGGAGGAGCAGGAGCAGGAGCAGGAGCAGGAGCAGGAGCAGGAGGAGGAGGATGAGGACCTCCTCATCCTCCCTTCTTCCCCGGATAGGGGGGGAATAGGCTCAGGCGGGGATGCATCGACCCCCAATCGCCCATTGATCGCTGATAAGGGCCCGATAGCCCCCACCTGCCCAGGCAGGTGCGCATTCGCCTTCGGAGGCCTGTGGCCGATCTATCGGTGGTGCATCGCTGATTCCCGGTCGATGCATCTTCCCTGTGCAGGAGGGGAAAAAACACAGACACAATTAATCGTCGATTCCTCAAAAAATATATAGGAAAATATGGGAAGTGGGCGGAAAGACAGAAACCCAGAAAATATATGAAAATATGGGGAATCATTTTATTTGTGTGTATTTATTTGTGTGTTTGTGGGCCCCTTCACCTATGCCAGCCCCTCCCCCGATCGTTGCCCCTTAGAGGTTCGCGCGGCGATGCCGCGCCGGCGACGCCAGCGAAAGCGCTCAAGGTCGAACTCCGCATGTTAGAGCGTCGCGGAAGCACCAAGGGGCACGGTGATGCCACAGGGCCAGACAGAATTCAATTGAGAACGACCGGGCTTGCGATCGGTGCAAAATCGAACGATCGACGTGGTGTCAAAGACTCTGCGCGCGCCGAGGCCGCACGAACCTGCCGCAGATCCCCAGAAGCTTGGGCCCCCTCCTGCGGACCTGTTGTTCACCCCGAGTCCTTTCAGGACAGCCTCCGAGCCCCCCGGGGCCCGAAAGCGGTAAGAGAAGGCCGTGATGATCTGTGCTCGCGAGGCGAGGACGTCAGGGGAAGCTCGAGATTGCGGCGTGCGTGGGTTGCCCCCGAGCGGGGGGGCTTTTCGCGCAGGTCTGTTGGCGATGCGCCGCCGACTCCAGGCCACTGCTTTCTCCCGTGAGCCAGCCCCCCATGCGATTCTCGGCACGCCATCGTTCGGGCCCGTCCCTCCACAGGAGGAAAACAACCCCAAAATAGTAAAGAGAGTCAGGGGACGATTTCTCGACTATGTCTTGACCATTTTGGTGCATGTTGTGACGACATTTTATGTTTCACCCACAATTCCCCTGTAGGGGGACATGGCCGACCGAAGCTTACCCCCGAGCCACCCCTCCTCCGTTTCTCGGGAGCGAAACAAGCACGACATCGCACACGAACTCACGTGGGCTTCGAGAGGCGCACCTAACTACGCGAGCGGCCGTGACATGATGGTGCCGTCGCGACCTGAGCATGCGGTATATTCATGTCTCAGGAGGGAAAAAACACACACAGACACAATTCATCGTCGATTCCTCGGAAAGTATGGGAAAGTATGGGAAGTGGGGGGGAAGACAAAAACCTTGAAGCTATGAGAAAATACAGGGGAGTCTTTTTATTTGTGTGTGCCCTTATTTGTGTGTCCTGGGGCCCCTTCAGTGTCATGCCCGTGGCTGGGCACGGACGCCCTTCCAGAGCTCCCTCCCTCCGGCTCTCCCTTCGGGAGCCCGAGCCCCGAGAGAGGCCCCCACCTCTTCCCCCGACGGCCGGACACGTTTCTCCTCCCGAGCCTCTCCTGGTGGCCCCGGGGCCCAGCGGGGGCCCCAGAGCACGCCTCAGCACATACCGTCGGGGCCCTGGAGAAGGAACCCTTTTCGTTGGGGAGGGGCTCGGTGTTCCTTGAGTGTGTTCACAGCTTGCCTCGGGCTTTCCTTCTGTTTTCGATAGGGAATCGGAGTTTAGCTTATGGAAAAAAGGGGCCTCGTTCCTTATTTAGGGTTCCTTAGGTCAACGCCCCGACTGTACCCTTCTAAAAGCGCTGGAGACTTGCGCCCTATCTCGGGCGATCGCAAACACGCATCGAGGGGGCCTGGATTAGCGACGGGTCCCGTTTCCAGGGGACATCGCGGACTGCCGCCGCCGAGCGAGGCGGCGCCGGCCGCATTTTGGGGAGGGCATCTCCCCCAATCCATGTTTGCGCGCCCCCGACAAACAGGAGACGCCAAGGGGGTGCATCAAGGGGGGGCGTCACGGGAGTGCATCAAGGCGGGCGGTGAACGCGCGCGGTTACATCGCGCAGAGTGCTTGCACCCCTTGACTCCCGTCTCCTGGGTGTCTGCAGACCTGATCCTTTGGCCCTACACGACTCACGCTTCCGCTGCTTATTGTGCCCCTTCCGCAGTCGCCGAGGTCCCGCCTTGCGTCGCCGCTGCCCCAGGCCGCCCAACTGCCAAGACTCGAAGCGGAACACACTGCATGCAAATATACTCCTGGCGCTCCGCGCGGAGTTGTCGCATCCGCGCTGGGCCCCCCCGGCGGCGCCTCCGGCGCCGCCCCTGGCGCGCGGATCGCGCGAGGGAGGGGGGCACGGCGCAGACCCCGGAGGTCCGCGCGGAGCGCCAACAGTTTATGTTTGCGCCGTTTTCTGTTCCTCTGTCTGCGTCCCCTGGTGTTGGGTGGGCGTGACTCTTGTGGAGCCCGTCGGCAAGAACATGGGCAGTGGGTATCCCTTGCCAGCCGCTGTGCTTAACGATACGCATGGTCGTGCGCTCCAGCCCGTTGCAGGAACTGCTCGTGGGCGCAAACAATAAGATTCTGTCTGCGTCCCCCCACCGCTCTGCAGAAGCCGAGCTGCCGGAGATGCGACGTCGTGCTTCGTTCCGTCGTGTGGCCCCCCGCAGGTCGGGACCCCCTCCGGGGAGCCGCTCCCCCTCTCCCGCGGCGTTGCCTGAGTGCCCCGAGGCCCGGTGAGGCCCCCCGGAGGCCGAGGGCGGGAAAAACATCGGGCGTTGCATGTGGGGTGGGGGGGGGCGAAGACGGGTGCGTCTTGTGCACTATTTGGACTGTGCAATGTTTTGTGAGAGATGGTGCTTGTTTCCAACACTTAATGCGAGCTGTAGGCTATACTACGGAGCTGAGATGTGCACCAATCGACAGGAAGTGCTGAGAAGCGCTAGTCCAGAGTATCCAGACGCCTGAGCTCGGTGCGCAGTCCCCCTCCCCAAACGGGGCATGAAAGGTGTGCGTTTCTTCCCCCCCCCTCCTCAGGATGCGGGGGGTGGACAGGACCCCCCACCCTGACACGTCGATTCGTGCATGGTCCGTTTGCGGTTCTCGAGAGGGCGCCGCGGCCGTCCTTTTTCCAGGCCTGCGCCGGCCAGGTTCGGGCCCGAGGTCTGTCCAATCCCCCCGAGGCCCGAGAAGCAGTGCCCCAAAAAACACCTCCCGTCGTGATACCCGTCGCGGCGCGAAGATGTCATCGGGGATCCCTGCTTCCGTCGCCGCTGCTCCGCGCCGCCGCAGCGGCATCCATTCGGCGTCACCCCAACATACCCTGTACTATATATGTGGTTCGACCCCCCAGGGGCGACGCGTGCACCGAGAAATCTTAGTGTACATGCGTCGTGGCGGGCGCTCTCTGGCCACACCGCTCGGGAAGCGATATACTACAGGATGGGTATCCTATATGTTCGGGTCGGACGCGCGCCTCCAAGGAGGACATGCGCGTCCCATCCATGTCTCTGTGCGTCCCATCCATGCCCGCCCCTCAGTAGCGTTAAGTCGGGCCTGTCCCTCTACTAGAGGAGTATTCAAACATAGTCAGGGGACGATGTTCCTATTGTTCTTGGAGTGTTATTGAACTTTTTGGGTTTTTTTTTCGTCCAAGATCCGCCTGTAGGGGAACATGCCCAACCTAACATTAGCGAAGGGGGGACGTAGGTTTACATGAACCCTCGCTGGTGTCGAAATTTCGCATTGCGCGAACGTTCGTAACACGAGGCTGACCCCGAGAACTGGGGGGCTGTATTTTCGCCGCCTGCCGAGACAGCCTCCTCCTTCTCACTTCGGGGGCGGAAAAGAGGGGGGTGATGAGGGGTGGATATCATGGCGTGGGCCATGATATTTCCCTAGATTTCATGGCGCCTCTTCTTATTTCATTGCGTCCCTGGCCCTCCCGCTGGGCCGCGCAGATGCCGCCGGTCATGATTTGCACCCCTCCCCTCTTGGACACCCCCCTCCTGGCCGCTCCCGATCACTTCCCCCCCCTCGCTTGCCGCTGACGGGGGGCCGTGTTCGTGTGCTGCGTGGCTGGGTGCGCACGCCCTTTTGCGGGCTCCTCCGCCCCCGAGGCCTGGGGCTCGCCCAACGGGGCCATGCGCCGCGGCTGGAACGGCATCACCATCTCCAGGCCTCCTGCCTGCTGCGCTCCCGGGGAGGGGGCAGCAGCGCCAGCCTCCGGGGGAGGTGCTCCTTCCCCTCGTGTCTCAGTCTCATCCATCCTCCTCCTCCTCCTCCTCCTCCTCCTCCTCCTCCTCCTCCTTCCCCTCCTCCTCCTCCTCCTCCTCCTCCTTCCATTCCTCCTCCTCCTCCACGTCCTCCTCCTCCTTTCCCTCCTCCTCAGCCTCCTCCTCCTCCTCCTTCGAGTGATAACGGCTGCCCTCCTAATCGAGTCCCCTCCCCCCTTCTTGGATCGAACTCCTCCCAGGTGGCCGCAACATGGCGCCCTTTTTGCCACGAGGCAAACAGGTCCCGAGGGCCCGGATATCTGGCGATCTGACCCTCGTTGCATCCTGGCGGTGCTCTTCGATCTCGGCCTCTCGGGCCCGCCGTCGGGCCCCAGGACCATCCAGAGTGCATCCGGGACGTAAAAGCTGCCCCCCGGGAAGCGGTCGGGTCCACCGGGGCCACGGGTGCACACACAAATCATGGCATGGGTCGAGTTTTTGTTCCCGTTGTCGGCTCTCGAGGGCACTCCCCGGGCCCCGGGACCGTCAACCAGTTATGGATTGCCATGCGTGATGATGAAGAGCTGGTCTTTGGGAGAAGGCCCTGGGTCGCCAGACCCGTTTCCATCAGGACCAGTTTGAGGGCGTTCTTCTGTAGACAGAAGCTTATCCTCTTGCACAGGGTGTCTAGAGCTCCAACCACTTTATTTCGGCGTCGCACCGCCCTCACCGCCCCGCCCCCCCGCCCCCTCCACCCACCCACACCAACCAGCACCACCACCAGCGTAACACCGCCCCCCGCCCAGTGCTCCGACCCGACCTCTTCATACGAACCACCACCAGCAGCAGCGTGACACCGCCCCCCGTCCAGTGCCCTGTCCCCCCTGCCCCCCCGACCCTTTCCCCCTCCCCAGCCGCCGACTGCCCTCTGCACCCCGCCCCCCTCCGCCCCGACCACTTTATTTCGGCGTCGCACCGCCCCCACCGCCCCGCCCCTCCCGCCGCTCCACCCACCCATCCACACCAACCACCACCAACCCAGCGTGACCCCCTCCGCCCCGACCACTTCATTTCGGCGTTTCCGCCCCCCGTCCAGTGCCGTCTTACCCCGCCCCCTCCGCCGCGACCACTTCTTTTCGGCGTCGCACCGCCCCCACCCGCTGAGTGCATCCCGCCCCTCTCCGCCCCGACCATGTTATTTCGGCGTCGCACCGCCACCACCGTCCTGCCCCCCGACCCTCCCCCCCCGCCGCGCAGTGCCTTCTGCACCCTGCCCCCCTCTGACCCGACCACTTTATTTCGGCGTCGCACCGCCCCCACCGTACCGCTTCCCCGACCCTCCCCCCCGCACAATGCCTTCTGCACTCCGCCCCACTCCGCCCCGACCGCTTTAGTTCTGCGCCGCACCGCCCCCGCCGCCCCGCCCCCGCGACCCTTCTTCCCTCCCCGCCCGCCCAGTGCACACCGCCCCGCCCTGCCCCGACCGCTTTAGTTCTGCGCCGCACCGCCCCCGCCGCCCCGCCCCCGCGACCCTTCTTCCCTCCCCGCCCGCCCAGTGCACACCGCCCCGCCCCGCCCCGACCATCTCTTTCGGCGTCGCACCGCCCCCGCAGTCCCGCCCCGCGGCCCTTCTCCCCTTCCCCAGCCGCCCAGTGCCCCGTGCACCCCGCACCCTCTCCGCACCAGCCGTTGCAGTCTGGAGTCGCACCGCCCCCGCCGCCCTGCCCCTCGGACCCCTTCCCCCTCCCCAGCCGCCCAGTGCCCTCTGCACCCCGCCCCCCTCCGCCCCGCACCCGCCGAGTGTTCTCCGCCCCCCGCCGCCCCCTCCCCCCGCGCCTGCCGAGTGCACCCCGCCCCCTTCCGCCCCGACCGCTCTATTTCGGCGTCGCACCGCCCCCACCGCCCCGCCACCCCGACCCTTCCCCCCCCAGCCGCCCAGTGCCCTCTGCACCCCGCCCCTCTCCGCCCCGACACTTTCTTTCGGCGTCGCGCCGCCCCCGCCGCCCCGCCCCCCCGACCCTTCCCCCTCCCCAGCCGCCCAGTGCCCTCTGCACCCCGCCCCTCTCCGCCCGACAACTTTCTTTCGGCGTCGCACCGCCCCGCCGCCCCGCCCCCCTGACCCTTCCCCCCTCCCCACGCGCCCAGTGCCCTCTGCATCCCGCCTCCCTCCGCCCCGACCACTTCATTTCGGCGTCGCACCGCCGCCGCCGCCCCGCCCCCGCGACCCTTCCCCCTCCCCACCCGCCCTGCACCCGCCTCCCTCCGTTCCGACCACTGTGTTTTCGGCGCCGCACCGCCCCCGCCGCCCGCCCCCCCCGACCCTTCCCCCCTCTCCAGCCGCCCAGTGCCTTCTGCACCCCGCCCCACTCCGCCCCGACCACTTCATTTCGGCGTCGCACCGGAGTTCGGACACCTTGCCGTTCGTTTGTCGTTCGTCGTTCGCCCCCCTGGCCACGGAAGGAAATTCTTGACGCTTCGCGTATCCCCACCAGCCCATCCAGTAAAGATGCCCAGGCGAATGGAGGTGATCAGGGAAGTGAGGGAGCATACAGAGTAACAAAGGGCTGGGGAACCCGTCTTACCCAAGACGGCGAGGATGGAGGAGGAATCGGAGGAGGATGAGGAGGAGGAGGAACTGAAGGAGGAGGAGGGGGAGCGGGAGGAGGGAGGAGGGAGGAGGAGCAATAGGCGGATGAGGAGGAGGAGGAGGAGGAGGAGGAGGAGGAGGAGGAGGAGGAGGAGGAGGAGCAGGACGAGAACGAGGAGGAGGAGGAGGAGGAGGAGGAGGAGAAGGGCGAGCAGAACGACCAGAGGCCTCTTGGATGCCTGTCGGAGTCTCTTCGGATGTCTCTTGGGAGCGTCCTGAAGGCCTCTTGGGGCGTCTTGGGAGCGTCTTGGCGTTCCCGGAGGCCTCTTGAAGCGTCTTGGGTGCCTCGGGGAGCATCTTGAGGCCTCTTGGGGGTCTCTTGGGAGCCTCTTGGGGGCCTCTTGGGAGCCTCTTGGGGTCCTTGTAGACGCCATCGGGGCGCTCTGGGGGGGCATCTTGGAGCAAATCTATCAAAGAAGAGCAAAGCTTTAATTAGCGTTGCCCCTCGAGACTGTCTAAAATCGCTTCCTGGACCCCTCTTGGATCGCTCTTGGAGCGCTCTTGGACGCTGTTGAGGCAGTCTTGAGGCTCTCTTGGGCCCCTGTTGGGGCCCAGTGGGGACATCTTGGCGCCATCTTGAGGCCTCGGATGGGCTTCGGAAGCGAAAAAGTGAGAACACCAAAAACATGGATATTCCCTAGGGTTTTGAAGCATTTCGGCCTTTTGAGGGCACTCTTATGATGCTCTTGTGGGCACTTGGAACCATCTTGGAGCGGTCTTGGAACGTGTTGGAGCGTCTTCTGAACCATCTTCAGGCATCTTGCGCTATCTTGAGCCATCTTGGAGGCGATCTTGGGCTCTCTGAGGCCCTCTTGGAGCCGTCCTGGGCCATCTTGGACGCTCTGACCGCTCCCCGCCCCTCCTGTCCAGGTCAGTGGGGAGGGGGTAGGGGGTGGGGTAAACCCCTCCCCGAAGGGGAAGAGGGAGGGGTGGAAGAGGAAACGCCCTAAACCACCGACGCCCAGAGGGCTGGTGGGACTCCTGGAGGAAGGAGGCGACAGTCTCCTGTCCTTCGCAGCTCCTTGGTGCAAGAGCCAGGGTACGCGTGCCACTTGTTTGCACGGCAATCCCTCCCCGCCCTCTCCGCCGCCTTTTGAAACAGCGCTGGGCCGAGACGGCGTGCAAGTGAGTCCCGACTTGCGTGAGGTCCAGATTGCCTTGCGGGCCTCGCCCCGCCCCCGCCCCACTGCAAGTCAACTTACTGTGGGAACCCATGCCAAGAAACGCCCTGCTTGCCTGCAGGGTGCCCTGAGTTCCTTTGGGTTTCCATAGCTCTGCTCTTGAGAGCGCGGCGGGGGACGATGCTTGATTATGGTTGACCATTTGGGAGTATTTTTGGGGTATTTTTAAATCCCCCTGTAGGGAGACACGCCCGACTTAATGCCAAGGCTTCCTCGCCTCGCTCTGGCTGCCTCCCCCCCTGCGGGTCCTGGCGCCGCAGTCTCTCCCTCTTTGCCGCTCCGTGGGCGTCTTGCGCCCATCTCCGGGCCCCGGTGCCCTCGGAGGTCGATCGAGCGCTCGAGGATGGCTGCAGAGAGCTGGGCCCATTCCAGGCCCCCCTGGCGTCGCGTTTTTGCTGTTGTTTTTTTGTGTTTTCTCACAGCGTGGACCCCCCGAGGTCTGGAGGCCCTGCCCGGGTCTGCATTTTTGGAAGTTGCCGAGTGGGCGAGTGCAGCTGTCGCGAGGCACGGTTGCGACCAGGGGCTGGCACGCGCAAGCTGAGCATGGCCAACGCCATGTTTCACAGGCGCTTGGAAACTGTCCTCACGTACGCGCCTACATCCTCGTGGACCAGCGGGCCCGGCATTCAGTACTCGATGCGTTTGCCACGGCGTGCCCCGACCTTGGCTCCGACCGTCAGGCCGTGCACCTCCGGATGGCAGTGGGCTGCGCGAAGCAACCACCACGACGGAAACGACAACGCAAGCACACACGACATCCGACAAACTAACAACTTGGATTTCCAGCACCACTTGCGAGAACACCTCACAAGCAGCGAGAGCACCCATGCGACGTGCAAGCTGCCTGCACCAGCACTGAACAAACACTCAGAGCAGCTTATGAAGACTACCATCAACAAACATACCATGAACAACACCAAAAGGTTCATGCCACATGCGACGGCGACGAGGTCACGAGGCAAGCATAGGCACTCATAAGGCAATGCAGGAACACACCGCGCAGTGACACAGCACTGGGCCATCCAAAAGTTTGACACAGCAAGCAGCACTGAGTGAAGTTGTTGGCACCTTTCGCGGCCTCCACAAAATATATTGCATCAAGTCTAGCAATAATAATGCCCAATACCAGCAATGA